CTGCTCGTTTAGGTGTCGATTCCGTGTTACAGGTGTCCAAAGAACAAACAAACATTTGATGGGGGTGGATAATCTCCTCAATCAGTTCTTTTTCAAAATACCGCGGGAGGGCCATACTTGCCATATGGGTTAACCCAGCAGGAAACCCATTCTTTCACATTGACGAAGTCATGTCATCTTGTGTAGAATAGTGAGCGAAAAATGTGCAATTGTCTGAAACCAACCGGGAAAAAAGACTAATCGAGCTAAAAATGACATCCGAGAAAATCGGAAAAGAAAACAATTTGACCGAAAAAATGACGATTAAATTTTCAAACTCCTTCTTTCCAAATTTAAAGCTTCAGAATTGTCAGAATGTTTTTTGGTTCATATTCACATTGAAAAATATAAACATGAAAAAATTTAAAAATTGCATTTTATTTAAAGGTGGGGGACATGAAAAAAAAAATAAATTTCTCGAAATCCCGTTTACATACGCTCCTCGAGGAGTTGAACTTGTGGGGGGCGAGGATTGAGGGTGCGGCGCCGCTACCGACTGAGCCACGCGGGTAAAGAGAAAGCGTCCGCTCCATTGCATACATAAAGGCGAGGACGACAGCTGTACGCAGAGTGACATTAAGCGTTGTACACCGTGACGGTAGAATGCATACTCTAGCTACAAAAAAACTACGAAAAATCTCCTGTCCCCCCACCTTTAAATAACTGCCCCATTTGGGTATTCCTTATTTCTGAATTGAAATGCTTTCAACATCCGGTCTATGACAAATAATTAACCCCTCACGACGCTTATAAAAGTTTCGCCGTTTCGGAAATCCAGGTTTCCAATGTTGTCCCCAAAAGTTTGCAAAACCGTCAAAATCTTTCAACTCTTGATAGCTGATATGAATTTGAAGTTTGAAGATTTTGAAAATGCCTGAAAGTTTATTTAAATTTTGATAAAATATGTCGTAACTCACTTGTCGCAAAAACTTCAAATCTTTTAGCAAAAATGAATTCAGATGAACGTTGATATTAGAAAAATGGACTAATTGTTCCAGCGGCGGAGAAAATTTATAAGATCCAGAATCGAACTGTTCTAGTTTTTTCCATTGCTCGGTGCTTACAATTTCTTCCATGTCCAAATTAAAAGCATCTTTATCACGGCGTTTAAAACCATCAGGACGATTTATAGAAAGTTTTTCAAGAAATTCAGAATCGACAAAGGGTATAACTGCCATAAAATAACTCTGTCGAAAAGCGGATATGTTCAAATTCTTGGTTTTAATAATTTTTGATTTCAGCACATTTTTCAGCTTTTCAGGGAACAATCTGGCCACCGGGGTGCTATCGCGAGGAGACCAATTCACAGTTACCGATAGAGAATTCAGTTCGGTTTTTTGAAATTTTAAAATTCGTTCTAGGTCTCCCATGGCCAGATCCAACGCAGTTATGCCTTTCAAATTTGTGTGTTTCTTCTCGAACATTCTGTCACAAACTCCATTTTCTTTGTCCAAATACTGAATAACATCGGTTTTCTGCTCAGAGTCATATTTAAGAATCATGCAGTCAAATTGAAGAATCATTGCCGAAACGAGGATTCTGGTGAAATTTGTATTTGGAAGATTTGATTCACCAATTCCGTGAATTATTTTTTTCCTTCGAAAATTCCGACATACTTGGCTGAGTGTTAGCCTGTAGTTTTTGTTATTTTTCAATATTTTTCAGAAACAAAACTCACACAGATTTGAAATCGGATTGTTTTGTGATTGCCCGAATAACAACATCTGGCCTTTTACATATTGGAAAATTAGATTGAAAACTAGCAGTCATTTGAAAATGAGTTTCGAAAATTTGTGAATTCAAAACTGATAAAATTGTCGTTTTATGTTACTTGTCTGCGCCTCTTTGGTTTCTAAACGTTGCTCATCTTTAGTGATTTCATCAACTACAAAATTTTTGAAATGTTGAAGTTTGGACTTCAAAAAAAAAAAAAAAGGGCCGAGATTATTTTTTCTCCGGCCCGGCCCGGCCCGGCCCGTTCGAATTTAAGAAAAAACAGAAATTATTGAAGAATTATTTTAATTTATTTCTTAACAAGTAGCATAACAATGTAAAAACCGTATAAATGAACAAGGGGAAACAAAGAAATGGAAACCGGGGGAGAAAATTAAAGCTCATATCAACCAATCCAACAAAAAATATAGAAAAGTAACATAAAATTAACTAGAAAAATCACTACAATTAGTGAGAGAATCAGTCGAGCCAGTGTGGAAATTTCGTGGCTATTTGCGAACCCAGAACGACCATCTCCACACGCTTGTACAGTAATCTTGTTTTTGTTTTATCTAACAAAAACGACGCAGTGCTGAACGTAGTCTCACACATGGCTTCACTGGGAACAATCGAAAAAACGAAAAGTGCTGCTGAGTACAGTCCGGGGTATTCGAATCTTTTTCTTTTCCAATACTCCTCAACCGATTCGTTCGTTGAAGGATCGTAGTACTCGGAGAGATATCTTGAGATTTCCGAAGAAGTGGATGTCGAAAAAAAAACAAAACAAACCCCCGTAAATCGACACGGGCTGCTAAACAATGCGCGCCTCGTCATATCGGAGCATCGTTGCAATAAAAATGGCGAGCGTTCA